CTGCTGAAACTGACCAGCGCTGACTACAGGAAGCCCGAGGCAGAGTTGCTCTGCCCCGGGCTCCCTGGAATCAGCTGCTGATCAGTTTCAGCAGCAGCTGACTTGGGGACGCTTGGGGTTCTTAAGTTGAATCTGTATGTAAGTCAGAACTGGTGGTCAGTTTCAGCAGCGGCTGAATCTGGATGCCAGTTCCGACTTACATACAGATTCAACTTAAGAACAAACCTACAGTCCCTATCTTGTACGTAACCCGGGGACTGCCTGTACTTAGATGAAGTCAATATCTTACTCAAAAATTACAAAATGATTTTAAAGACATAGAACACATACAACTATAGGGCCAAATTCTGCCCTTAAATATATCTTCAAAATACCAATTCAATTAAAAGTATGTTACATGCAAATCCGAGGACAAAATTCCAGAGAAAATTAGTTGCACTAATAACTCCGTTATTCCAATAATCAATCAATGCCAAATGCTGAGAATTGGGTTTCAATTAATAGTATTTTAAATAATTTACCTCTCAATTTTTGGTGTGAAGAGGGGAAAGAAAAAAAATGCTCCATAACACATGTGGGTAAAAAGCAGTTAAACAAATTAAAAAGTTAGAACCAGATGATTTCTAGAATTTAAAATGAATGGTAGAAGAAAGACAGAAAAGCACTGTATTTAACTTAGGAAATATTTAATTTAGTAATTAAAAAAAGATCCAAAGACTCCTTATTGAAATGACATGGTCAAGTTGCTACCATAAGGTATGCTACTTATTTTTTTAAAAGTTTAAAAAGTCATATCTGCAAGTGCTCAATGCTGCCATGACAATTCTGAGTTTTCTTTTTCATTAATCAAAACGTACAGATTGTCACAGTCAGAATCAAAAGTAAAAAATTTAATGTATGATTAAATATATAACAAAAAATCTGGTTCACTTTTTTTAATGAAGCTGTGTGTAGTTTACTGTCACAATATGCAAAATCAAGAGAATTAATTTACAGTGTCATATTTTACTCTCTATACCTGTTTTACCAAACCTTTAAAGTTAATTATCTAATTTGATACTAAACAATAACCACTAACTTTTCTCTAGAACTACAAAACTACTTTACGGGACTGATCAAATATGGTACATAATGCAAAGAAAAACTTAAAATACTTATCAAATGTATCAGAAAAAGAAAAATTTAACACTCAGAAATGCAGTTCCATTTGCTGCCTTGCAGGATTGAGACCAAAGTACTTGCAAGACATTGCGGACCCTCAGATCCCAGGGAGTTGAACATAGAATGCAAAGAGCATTTTGCAAGATAGATCCCTTAGTTCTTCAATTCCAAAAATCAATTGGAGAAAAAAAATCAATTGTGTTTTTAAGTGGGTAGAAAGCACTAACAAGATAAATCTCTTATACATTTTCATGTTTGATAAAAAGTTATAAAAGCCAGAATGTAAGAGAAAAATTATTGTAACTCTGAATAAGTTACATCATTGTATAAATAACCTGATTCTATTGTTTGCACATTTCTCTGTGGTACTTTTAAAACTCACTCATTTGGAGTGAGCCTAATATTGCCAAAAACAACATGGTGCTGGTATATGCCATATTCTGAATCTGCTCCCTAATTATATCAAAGATGAAAAGAGAAACTATTTAGAATACACTGATTTTTCCTTTTTCTTCCTTCAGCCAGAATGAAATATAATGTCATACTAGAACAAATAAGCAATTCAACCAGTCTCTTCCATCTGTTTTTCAAGGTCAGAGCATTACTTTCAAGTTTGTCCATACCCGAATCTGAGTTTCCGGAGAGCAACATCAAGTTCTACTCTTCTAACAGACAAGTTTAACTCTGAGTAGAGTCTTAAAGTCTCATCTATATAACCTACGTAGAGTAGTGAACACTAATTCAGATTTGTAAGTGGTATTCAGTGCTAGCTTTGTATTCTCTCAGTTTGTGCATACATTACAAATACAAATATGTGAAATTATTTAGTGGGAGAAATATAAGTTACAAGGTGAAATGCTTTAGTGAGGGAAGTACAGTTCTTTGGTGAGCATGGACACAATACATGGAATCTGCTTCTTTGCATGAAAATCTGGATGGTTTGAATACGAACTATACTCTGCAACCTTGCGATTTACACGTGTTAATATCTGCATAAGCTCAAGTTTCTTTGCATGCTGTTTCAGCATTAAACATAGTGACTGAATAAACCAGGAGCCTTCTGATGAGTTTCGCCAAGAGTAATAACCTACAGAAGAAAAAAAACTATTAAATAAAATACACTTAATTGGTCCAATGTATGTTCTGCAAAATGTGACTAGCAGTCAGGAAAAAATAGTTTGTTTTCAAGAGTAATTTTCTATCAAGAGTTAAATAATCAAATAAAAGTTTAAAAATAAATAACTCTAGCTTGTTACTTAAATAATCACAATATAACATCAACAGACATGACCACTGTGACCCCAAATTCCAGCACAAAGGGTTAGTTCAGATTGCGAAGCCCTGACTTCCTTTACAAGTTCAGACAAACCCTACGTAAAGGAAGAGTCAAAGCTGGGACATCCCTCTTTCACCACCCAATGATGTAAATGAAGCAGTTTCTATTTAATTCTTTATTTCTGCAAATAATCTATACCCTGCCACTGAAATTGTAAATGGCTTCAGATGAGTTACAGTACTAAGTCTCATATGGACAATGTGAAGAATTTGGAGACCCTCTTCACAATCACTATTTCTAGGCTGTGCAGGTACAGCAATGCCTCATTTAACATGTGCCCGCTTAACACGTTTTCATGATTGCACGATTTTTTTATAGGGAACGTTTTTTGAATTACACAACTGTCCCCGGAATAACACGATTTCCCCAGCCGGCCTGTTGCCGGCTGGTGTGAGGGACTTCCCCCACCTCCCTGCAAAGCAGCGGAGGATTCGCCGCTCACCGTGCCATTCCCTGTTGACTCCCCCTCGCTGGACGCCTTGTCCCCTCTCCTTCTCCCCCACCTGCATGCCAGAGGCTGGGTTTCCCCAGCCGGCCCGTCGCCGGTGGCTGTGCAGGGCTTCCCCCATCTCCCTGCAAAGCGGCGGAGGGTTTGCCACTCGCTGCGCCATTCCCCAGTAAACCCCCTCACCGAACGCAGTGCAGTCCCGGCAGACCTGTCACAGGAGTATACTCCCAACCCAATCCTCCTCCCCTCCGCTCTCCTCTCTTTCGCTTTCCCAGAGCCAAACACCTCCCCTTCCTGCTGTAACCCAGTCCCCTTCCTCCCCCAACCTTATGTCCGGGTCCCAACAGACACCACCACTTGAAACGCAACCCCCACCTTTTCCATTATTTTCAATGGGAAAATTGACCCCGCATAACACGTTTTCACGTAACATGATCATTTTCTGAAACATATCTATAGTGTTAAATGAGGATTTACTGTACCACAAATGAGGATAGAATCGATACCCGAGAAGAAACTTAACTGTCAGGTATTCCTGATGGCATCTCAAATAGTAATATACTCATTGTTTCTCACCACAATTTATTTGCATAGACCCATTTAAGTGGGCACACAGTACTACGCAAATTAATGTTTGAATTTGGAGGATTTGACAGTGAAAAAGAAAACCTTAACATTCAATTTGTTGTAGGAATGAGCATTTCAAGCTCTACCTCACTTTGTACATAAGCACAAGAAAGTGAAAAATGAAAGGCAATGGGAATTGCTTTATAAAAGAATAAAATAATGTATTCAACCTTCTTCAAATCAAATATAATATTAATACAAACAAATATCTATGGATTTTAGCAATGAAGAATTTTTTCATGAGCTGCTCTTACCTGGGGCAGTAGAATATGCATATAGGAAGTCGGCTTCTACAGGTATTTTCTGACATGTGCTTTCCTCTGATCTACTGTCTGTCTCAATGCCAGAATCTAATTCTGTCCCTCTACAAGCCTGAGAGAAGGGAGGGGAAACAAATTAAACAAACAGTAAAGGTTAGCAATAAACACCACCGTGGTATTCAGTTATTTCAAACTTTGTGAAGAACAATTAAATGAACTATGAAAATAAAGATTCCTAATACTTCACTTTTTTACGGATGTTTAAATGCCAAATATGACAACTGGAGTTAAGGTAGCTGAATGCATCAATTTAGTTTCACTACATTATGGGTTTATTAATTCCAAATTTTGGTTTTGCATCTAAGAGCCTATTGAAATTCTGACTGATGTTCATCTGCCTACTTACATAAAGCTAGAAAGTGCCACCTTTACTCAAGAAGAACAGTATCTTACTCTGGAAATAGTTCCTTTGAAATCAATATATGCAGCATACAATTTTGAGCTTTGCTTCGGTATCTAATGGAAAAATTGCATTATTCAAGTACGTACCGGCTCAGATGTGCTTTACCTGAAAGAAGAAGAGTTTTGGTTTTCCTGCCAGACTCTTGCACCTGTCTCCTCTGAACAAGCCTGTTAATATTTTCAATTCAAGAGGACCATCTGTACCATAGATTAATCCATCTTCACCATGGCTTAACAACACACACACAAAACTGCTTTGATTGCTGTGATCATCTTTAGCAACTTGAAAAAAATAAGAGAAATAATTGGTTTTTGAAACTTCCCATATTATAGAAAAGTTTTGTTTATTATGTTAACAAGGATCTTGTTTGGCAATATTGGGTTCAGCCATCACTTCATAATAACCAAAATGAAACTGTGGCATGTGAGAGAGAGTGTGAACGTAGTACAGTGTTATCCAGCATGCCTGGGGATTAGGTCATGCCAGTTTTCTAAAAAGAAATAATTGGTTTTTGAAACTTCCCATATTATAGAAAAGTTTTGTTTATTATGTTAACAAGGATCTTGTTTGGCAATATTGGGTTCAGCCATCACTTCATAATAACCAAAATGAAACTGTGGCATGTGAGAGAGAGTGTGAACGTAGTACAGTGTTATCCAGCATGCCTGGGGATTAGGTCATGCCAGTTTTCTAAAAAT